ATATTCTGTGTACTGGAAAATTAATAAAATTAGTAAATATAATTTCTAATTAATTCTTTTAAAAATTATGAGCTGAGGTACAGTTTTTCTTTTCGATTTTATATCCATCCAAATTAAACACTTTAATATGAAAATAATTGCGTTTTCTTGATGAAACTTTATTTAGGTTGAAATTGGGACTTGCAAGGATATTGGAAATTTCACGTCCGCTTTGGAGAGCCTGGAGCTTGAGACGACGAATCACCCAGGTTTCAGAACAAATTACATGCAGACGGATTACTTCAATGATTCCGAGCAGGAGGAAACTGTTCCAGTTTTCAAGACGAGAGAAAAATCTACCTTCGAATTAGTAGTCCAAGGACCAGAAATCTTAATTTTCCAGGTATGAACGTCTTTATTTATTCATAATTTATCCATAACTTGATCTTTCAGAGAATAAATTGATGTTTCAAAACTCAATGTTTATGTAAAAATATATTGTCAGAGATATTAAAAAAAAATTAAATAAGTTATTCTCAAGAATATTAAAAAGGTATAGTATATATAATAATATATAATAAAAAATATACAGAACAAGAATTTAAAGTAGTTTTGTATATTTAATTTTTTATACATGAATTTATTTATTATACATGTACTTAATTTAAAAAGCGTATTATTCAGGAAAGAATTAAAAATTAAGGCTTATAAGAAAGGATTGAGGAAAGGATTTATCCTGCAGGGCATCAGGCATTCCCCTGCGGATATCGCACCCTATTGGAAGAAGGATTCTCGGATGTGGCTGTGGAAATCGGTCCGGCTCGCGAGGAGGCTAAAAAGTATCAAAGCAAAGGCTGCTCCTGCAAGCACTTTGTATCGCGAGGATCTTTCGTAGCGTATACTTTTATCTAACTGTACATACAAATTTTCGAATCGTAATTTTATTTTTTTATATTTCATTTCATTTTAATATTCAAACAATGTTGGTGACTCGTGTGAGATATTCTTCCATTTTTATCGAATTAATCAAATAATAAAAAATAAACATTAAAGGAAACATAAGAAAAACACAAGAAAAAAATATTCATATGAATTTTTGATTTTGGTATAATAACTTAATTCTTTATGACCGTAATGAATTTTAAAATACAGTAAAAAACATTTTTGTACTTGTGTCAAAATCTTGTTAAAATATTTTTATGTTAAATTTTTAACATATATATATTCAAGTGTTAATTTAATATATTACTGTTAATTTTATTCAAGAGATAATTTTTACATAATGTTTATATCTTTCTAACTCATCTTGTGAGTAAGTTAATACAAATATTTGGGTAAATCATGGAATATATTAAATTTAATACAAATTTGAAATTTTTCAACTGGGCACGTCAAAAGATTTAATGAAATAATGATGTTTTAAATTTTACGCTAGACTATCATCGATTTTATTACAGCAATACACATAATGGTAAAGTTGAGAGTGACATTAATCTATCCCTTTTTTCGTAAACGTTTTATAAATTCGTTCTTAAAGATATATAATAAAAACAATTTAAGAATTTGTATTCACACAATTTCTATTCTTTTTCGATTTCATAATTAAAGTAACATCGTGAAAATTAATATTAATGATAGATAATAAGAAATAATCAGTTATTTACGGATATTGCAATTGACATCAGCCGCAAGTCTGAGCACTCTTTAGTGGTGACTCCTCGTCAAGTTCCTCACCGATCTCGAAACGCGCGAAGTCGATGATTTCAGCATGCGTTTCCGCTAGCAACTGCTGCACAGAAAGACTAGGATCGAGTAGAAATTCCTGATAGATCATGCACTGCTCCTCGTCCATATTGTCGTGCGGCTCGTCCACCCGCGGATTACCGATTTTCTGCGGATCCATACCTATAAAGAAACAATGTCAATGTCGTCCTTTATTTTTCCAATCCAATTATCCAAAGTGTCCATTTAACGCTACAAATACTTCGAGGTTTGATTGACCAACCAGAAGAAAGAATTTTACTAACTGATCAATAAAAGAATGTTTTAAAGCATTTATAGTAGGCCTGTCCAATTTGAGCTCCGGAGCTAAAACGCAAAGCCATCGACACAAAAAGGGTCAATTGATTTCAGAGTAAAGATTTTAGACTAAAGTGTTGATAAGCGTCACTCAGATGCGTATCAACACTTTACAGTCTCCGAAATCTTACCCACATTGAATTTTTTTGCATCGGTGGTTTTGCATTTTGGTTCTCTCAAATTGGACAGACCTGATTTGTAGCATTAAGAGTATCCCTGTGACAGATGAAACCTACCAATGATATGCTGGCAGAGCTGCGTGCCCAGCATATTATCGTTTTTCTTGCACTTGATGGCTACAAGGGCGCCGTATTTGCCGAAAGATGTAGGTATGGGGTTCATCGGTGCCGGATGTGTGCAGCCGAACAATGTTACGTTCGGTGATCGTACGCTGATGGCGAGAGCGCGTCTCAGACTGATATTCTCGCCTACGTTGCCGATAGTCAAGGCGGAATGGTCGCTCAGGGACTTTCCGTCCGCAGCTGGTAGGTCTTTGAGACCGTCTGCATGGAAAATAGTCCGTTGTACTTCGTTCTGAACGTCCTGGGATTTTGCATGGTTCAATACAGCGGAGATCACTGTCTCTGCGAGACTATGGAACTTTTTGTTCCGCGCGACGAAGTCAGTCTCGCAGTTAATCTCGGCTAGTGCGGCATGATTCCCGTCTACCGTCACTGTGATCAGTCCTTGGCTGGTGCTGCGATCTTTCAGCTTGGCTGCCTGGGTCCAGCCGTACTGCTGCGCCTGTTCTTTCAGCCACTTCTCAGCCTGAAGTAAGGAAGAACTAAGAGATTCTGTCGTAAGTCAATTAGAATTACAGGACGCATGCTTAAACGGTCGTAGAGCCTCTTACCTTATTCAAATCATTCTCGTGCAGTTCCAGAGCTTTCTTGCAGTTTGCAAATGTGTAGCCAGTCTTCTTGCGCAGCTTAGCTAGCAGAGATTTGTTTGTGGCCTGCCAGAGCAGGCCATTTGTATGAATCAGGCGAAATATCTGAGCCGGAATCATCTAAAAAATATATTAAATTAATGCCAATTTCTGAGGTAATAAATAATTTATTACTAATATGTGTTAATTTAATTTTCCTAATGCTACATCCACTAATTATATGGAAAATTGGATTCTGATAAAATAAGTTTAGTTTATCATAGCATATATGCTGTAACTCATAATATAATGAACAAAAGACGTCAAACATAAATAATGATTCAATAATAGATAGCTTTTTAGTTATGGTGTATCAAAGGATCTCTGTGAGGATAAATTTTACACCTTTGATATATTATAGCTCAAAAATTATCCATTATCAATATCTATCTATGATCATCTTCTGTTCATCATATTACAAGTTAAATTCCTACATTTATAAGCATATTTACTAGTATTATAAGTACATTTTATCCAAGAGACGTCTTAGGAATGTCCTCAGAGTATTTAGAAGATATAGGGATGTCTTTGGAGAACTATACTATGTGGGATTATATAATTGTGTTCAGCAACAACAAAAGCAGCTTTGCATTGTTATAAAATTCTTTAATATAATTGGTCTTGTTCTCAATTCCTTATCCAAACGTATTACCAATTATATTGCAGAATCTTAAAACTTGTAAAGCTGTTTTTCTGCTGAACGCAGGGATCTAATTTTCCACATGATTATACGTGCGGAGTCTTATGGATTATCTTTACTAAGATACACCTGGTATTAATTTTCTTTTCTATACAAGTTAGTTTCGAACTTCTTGAAATTAATTAGTGCCTTTTAACTATTATAAACTAAATGGGCATCACAGATCTAATAGTAAATGTATTATAGATTTTGATATCAGCTCCGAAGGATTAAACAGTTGCATCCTGAAATTATAACATTCTAAGGACGTCTCTTGGATAAAATGTGCTATGGAAATATAACTTCTAATATGATGAACAAAAGATGGTCATAGATACTATGGATAATTTTTTAGTTATGACATATCAAAGGTGTAAAATTTATCCTCACAGAGATCCTTCGATACGACCAACTCCATTTGATACAAATGCTGAGTATAGGAAAGAAAATATGTCACGGAAAAATCAGATCACGTAAATTCTCGAGGAAATCGCGAGGTCACATCGTGACATTTCGCGTCGTTCTGGGTCTCAGGCTACCACGACAATCGAGACGCAGGTGGTTCCTGAGAGATAACCTAAAAGAGTGAATCGCATGCAGGATTGAAATTGCTTCTCGCTGAAGGGAAGACAGGAAAGAGATGCGAACGCGAGGATTGTCTTCGCTCGCCGATTTCGCTGAGGTTCGCGGGATTCGTTAACTCAGCCGAATCGATCGACTACGTTGCCTAGAAACTGCGATCGAGGGTGCAGTTTGAGAATCTCCGGATGCGCATGAATGACACGAGTACACGCGTGACTCGCACGAATGCGGATTAATTTGACTGTTAATTACGCGAGACGCTAGTCTGCGAACATTCGTGGTAGACCGAGCTGATTTCGCAAATCTAGAACTATCTCGCAGCGATCCAGCGGTGCAAGACACTCACCGTGTTTGAAGGTTAGAATACACTACAAATCCGTAATCATTTCTCCATCAAGAGGGCGTTTTCGAGGCCCCTTGTACCCCTTTTAGTACTTGGTGAAAATTTTTCATGTAATTTTTCCGAATTTTTATATAAATTTTAGAATTTTTCAAAATTTTTTAATAAAATTTCTTTAAGAAAATTTCTCAGATTTTTTAATACAAATATTAAAACACTTTTCAGAAATGCCGAATACATTTCTTTTTTTAATTTTTCATGTATATAAATTTTGAAATATTTTATTTCTAAAAGTTTTTATTATATAATTTCTCTGTAATATTATAAATTTTGAAGAAGTTTAAGATATTTTTTCAGAAATTATAGAATAAGAAATCTTAAAAATCTTCGTGGTAAAAAATTTTTCATGCATGAATATGTATAAATATATGTATAAACATACATAAACACGCATAAACATGCATAATTATGAAATATGTCCATGTTCATACATTCTTCTTTCTTTTGTAAAATTACTTTTTAGTGTAATAAAAATAATAATAATAATTTGGAAACATAAAAAATAATTAAAGGGATAATTTTCGCAAATTAATTGTTTTAGAAAAAATCAAGTTTGAAGAAAGGTTTAAAAAAATTACTTATATATAATTATATATAAAATTATGCATAATTATGAACAATTTTTTTTACATTTTTCCGAACTTGTTTTTTTTTTCTAAAAATAATGCGAAAATTATCCCTTTAATTATTTTTTATGTTTCCAAATTATAATTATTATTTTTATTACACTAAAAAGTAATTTTACAAAAGAAAGAAGAATGTATGAACATGGACATATTTCATATCTAATTATACATGTTTATGAATATTTATGCGTGTTTATATTTGTTTATACATATTTATACATATTTATGCATGAAAAATTTCTTACCGAGTTAGAGTATTTTAGAATTTACATAAAAAAGATATAAACTTTTCTAGTGTTTCTGAAAAGTGTTTTAATTTATATAGAAATTTTGAGAAAACTTTTCACCGGACATGCTGTCTAAATTTTTATGGAAATATGTAATATCAATGTAAATATTTTGAAATAATAATTATTGTAATTATAAATTATTTGTATAAGTGTTTAGACTAATAATTGTAAATACTGTAGTAACGTTATTGTGTATTCTTTATTTAATGTTATTATATATTTTATATGTTGCTAGAAATATATTTTTAACATAACATAATTTAAAATGACACATTCTTTTTTTAAGTACCTATATGTTGTATTGTATTTGATTACACTTTCTTATATTTTTATTATTTCATATTATATTATCTATTATATATAATATCTATTATATATCCCTCACTTTATATTATTTTTACATTATTATAGTTTTATTAATTGTAAATTATAACACAGTATTTTTAAATAAAATATTTTATTTATATGAATACATTTTTGAGATGAATAGACTTATTTGAAATCAAATTCATAAAAATATGTTTTAATTTTAAATAATAACCAAAAGTTATATGAAATAATTATCTAGTTGCATTTTACAAATATTCTGTTTCAAATGCATTTCTGACGCGTGTTTATAATTTAATGTAATTTCGCGCTTTGTCATTCGGAATTTAATTAATATTCGTAGCAATAATAAAATATTTTATTCTAGAAAAATCGTATATGAATTAAATTGCTTGAAGTTTCGCGAACAGTGATATTATTGTATATTTTCCAGAGATAAATTAGAATTCTGTTAAATGCCGCATTGTGACATTAATTGTCATAATTGTGATTGATTATGGAAATTTCATCTCGTTTGGAGAAAACGAAGGCACGAAAGTGCGAATCCGAGGATGTGATTCAAATACCGAAGATCCTCGAAACGAAGGTGGAACCGCTGTTTTCTCTGCCGTCGGACTTGATGAGTCCTAAAAGAAGCAAGAGGAAAAGAGAGGCACCTTACACAGTGAAACGTCTTCGCGAAGAGAAGTTTCGCAGGTACAAAAAACAAACTCGAAATTTGTATGTCCAAATAACTCCGAATATTTATTCGGTACAATCAAAGTCAAAGCAGTAATTAAACTAAGTTTTCAAGTATTATGTCAGATCTAAACGTGTGGCACACAGTCGACGTAAATATAATTAAATTTGAACTATTTAATTTATATAAATCTACACATAACATATATTAACTTAATAAAATTATAAAATTATTATAATTAAAAATGAAATTTGAATTGAATTATAAAAAAAATGTTAAAGGAATGAAAACCAATTATTCAACAGATGCTAAACCAGTTACTTAATATAAAGCGAAACGATTTATGTTATTAATACATTAAGAAAATAATGATACTTGATTAATTATTATATTATTCTTTTGGAAGAAGTTCGAAGCTTTAAATGAATCTCGATCCTTGCGATTAGATTTATGGTGGGTTTGATAGTGAAACCAGAGCTGGAAATGGATGTGGATCTGAGTGACGATAAGGACATCAATAGATATTATTATTACATTTGCAACGGAGTCGATACAATTCGCACGGTGAGCATCGAGGACGTTTTCGCCGAGGCGATACTCGATCTGGTTCCCGGCAGTCTACGGGAGAAATTTCCCGATTTTGTCGTTGATCTGATCCTCGAGATCAAGGAGGACTTCACAAAGAACATGAAGAAGGCTATCGTCGAGTACGCGCTCGCGGATCCTTTCGAGGAATATCCATCACAGGTTGGCCATCGGAAGAAAGATCGAATTATAAATGAGACTTCTATATCAATTTGAGAATAAAATCAGATCGGAGGTAACTGAAGATAAGCTTAATATTTTATCGACAAGATTCTGAAGTATAAGAAAAATATCGAATAATATTTCAATGTGAAATATTAAGGCTTACATTTATTAAAAATAGACATTTAAATAGGACTGAGAGTTTTATATTTCAAATATTCAGTGGCAAGATTTTCTATCTCAACGTACAATGAATCGATTATTTCAGAAATCATGTAAGTCAATTTTTGTCCAAATTGAGATATCAGGCAATTTAGAGTTAGGAGAGGTAGAAACATGATTTTCTTATCTCACTCTAAATTTTAATAAACTTGATATTTAGGAAAGAAAAAACCACATTAATTGAGTATTTCTTTCCTAAATATCAAGTTTGTTATAAGTTAGAGTGAGACACAATATAGTGATTTAAGTCTCCTTACATTAGACCGTAAAAAATACACTCATTAATAAAATATTGTAGCATATTGGAATTTAATGTTATGAGTTTATTTTTTTTGTACTTTTTGTATATTTTTTAACAATAAAGCTAAATATCGTTTATTTTCTTATAACGTCGTTTATTTATACAATCTGTTATTTTCTAACATCTTTAGAAAGCTGTTATTACATTTACAGAATTTCCTAATTAAAAAAGCCCTGTGTCATATGTATGGAAATGTTCATTTTCTTACAAACGACATAAATAAATATTTTAATATTTTCAATATTTCATTTTTAATTTTTTGCGGAAATAGATTTTAAAAGTGATATGTTTCATTCATTTAATATGTGAGATAATAAGGCAATTTTTACATATTTTTACAATTTTTAATTATTTTCAGCACTGCAGTTTTAAAAATTAGAACGTTTTTTCAATCCTCCAAAAAAATAGATTTTTTTTTACTTATAAAGTTACCGAAATCCTATTCGTGTGTAGAGAACTATTATAGTAATAAAAATATATTGTGAACGTCGATGTATTTTATTTCATTGCCTCGATGCTTGTTTTGAAAAATTGCGAAATGCAGACTAGAAATCGGAGTTATTTAATTGCGTCGATTTAATTGCCGATCGCGTTGTAGTTCGACATGATTCAGAAGGACGAGCGGAAGCAGATAGAGCACTGCCGCGAATTTCTGCATACCAATCTGTATTTGATAAATCCATGCATGCGGATGACTGTGGAGCAATGGGCTCGCGATTACAGGTATCGGTCGGAATTATAAACACGCTTAATTTGCGCTGTCGTGACTTGTTCTAGCGAATAATGTCAATTCTTTCAGTACATTTCGGCTGATCAATTTGGAGCACATCGTCGTGCACAAGGAAAGTTGGGATCTGACGAACTTTTACTCTCTAATCGCTCATCAGATCGTTGCCAATCGGAGAATTCTGAAAAAAGTCTGGTATAGCGGGATTCAAGACATATTTCTCGTGGTAAAGCATTGGAAAAGAAATAACATGTTAATTATCGCCACATATTATATATATTGAAAGAAGAATCAGGCAAATCAATTTTATTTTTATTCTTGATTTTTATTCTCTCTGTCTCCTGTTAAGCTTTCATGGATTTTCTACTTATTTCTTTTATTTACCCAAGTATTTATTAATATTAATTTTGTGCCCGACAATTGAATTTTGGAATAAATTAAAAGTTATTTTGTGGATTTCGAGTCTTCACTTTCTTTGTCTGTTTATTTGTTTATTATTTTCGCTCAATCATTTATATGATAAATCTGTTTAAAGATGTATTAGATGTACAGTCTTTGCAAGAAGTGACTGGAATTGAAAATTCATACTTTTTGCATAAAAATAAATGTTTATTCGTAAAAAAACAGTTCAAGATCAAATTTATATCTAACAATACAATTTTATAATTTAAATGAAAATTTTCTTATTTTATCTCATTTTTTTAAAAACATGCCTATTTTTATGGAAATAATTTTTTAATTACGTTTTAAATCGCCGCTAAACTTTTTTACTTTTACAAATATAACGTAGAAAAATCTGTAAAATTCTCTCCTTGGATTAATATCCAAGAAGACGTTATAACTCTGTGATGATAGTACGTTGAAGATTGTCCAAAGATGTATAATCGAAATGTTCGAAATTTTTTTATCTACTTTTAATATCGACTTTGATTTTATTTCTTATTTATTATTATTTCTTCCTATGTGAATTTTTTTATTTATCAACCGCCTTTCGGCGGTTTGATTCAAGTTTGCCTTTTTGTATCATTTATTACACGTTACATGTAACTTTTTTGTAATTTTTAAATTTTATTAAATAATACATGTAGTACATCCTTAAAAGCGAGAAGAGTCCTTCGCTTTTTTAATTCGTTCCTTTACAGAATAATAGAAAGAATATGATACCCAGTCCGCTGCGACGTAAGCAGTTCAAACGGTTCTTCAATTGTGCTGGCAAGCTGATGGAGGCGCAGCTTTTAAGGATCTGCAAACACTCTCTGCGGGAATTCGTTAATTACGTCGTAAATGGCAAGGTGAATATACATATCTGTCTTTGCGATCGATCGACGCGAAATGATTTTCAGACGAGGAAACTCGCACGCGTTCGGCGTTTCCTTCCTTCGCTTATCCGCTGTCGCGCGAGCGTTATTGGAACGTTACGAGACACAATTTCCATCAATTTCTGCTTATCAAGGCTTTTCAAGGCTCGTCCGCTCGTTCGCCTTGAGCCTCTATCGCGCGCGTAACCCAGATGTCACCCAATTGATGACAATCAATTGGAGATTTAAAAATAAACAAAAGATGACACAGCTGATGGCGAAATACAGAAGTTGTCTATTTTGCATCTTCCGTAGATTATTAGCGAATTTAGAACAATAATAGTTTTCCTCTTTTTCGAATTTTAAGACTTTGACTTCGTTCGTTTAATTTTTGCAGATAGTATTATCGATACGTAACTTTTCCTAGAATTTCTTTTGTCTTTACTTTGATCGTCATGCAAAGCTTTCGATTAATAATAATAATATAAAAAAAAAATAGAAGAACATATAAGAGTCAAATTTAAACAATTGATGTATATAATATGAACCGTTTAAAATCTGTACATTCTTAATTACTTATTATAAGATATTTGATAATATTACATTACATTACATTACATTACATATTTTAGCATCTTCATAAAACGCAGGAAAAAAACACAGTAACAAAACGCACAGTAATAAAACGATTTTAATTAACATTTAATCAACGTTTCCTGCAACTTATGAGCTGATAGTATTCAGAAAAATATGAACGATTTATCTCTCTTTTAAATTTCAAACTTTTGACTTTGTTTTTGTATCATTTTTGTACCTAAGTAGATATTATTGACAAATAACTTTTTTGGTTTTTCTGAAATTTTTATTTTTGCTTTTCTCACCCGAAGTTTTAATTGACATTTATTCTGCATTTATTGCAAATTATGAGTGGATAATATATAGAATAATAAAAAAATTTTCCTTTTTCAAAAAATTTTTGAACCTGACAATTTGTTTTCATAATATTTTTGTAGATAAGTAGATATTATTGGAAAACAATTTTTTGTTTAATTTCCTAGAATTTTAATTTTTACTTTTATCTTGATTTCCACGCGAACTGTTAACAGACTGTTTATTTTGTTTTCTTGTAAATTACGAGCAAGTAATACTCGAAAAAAAAGTTTATAGATTCCTTTAAAGCTTTAGAATTATAAACATTAAACTTCGCTTTTAATTAATTTTTGCAGAAATTGATATAATTGTGATAATGAATTTTTCTGAAAATTTTACTTCTTGCCAATATTGGGGCCCCACAATTTCTGGCCAATATTGGCTATAAATTGGCGTTCCAATATTCTGCCAATATTGGGGGTCCCAATATATGGCCAATATTGGGCAATACATTGTCTGGCCAATGTCTGGCCAATATTGGGGCTAATATCAAACTGTAGGCAATAATACTGGTATGTAATAGATAATACATGTAGGCCAATGTAACTTCATTTCTAAAATTTTTATTTGTGCGCAAAAATTCATGTAGGTAATCGAGCTGTAGGCAATAATTTTTTTTGCGCAAACGAAAAAGTGATGCAAGCAAACGATACTGCAGGCAAACGATTTGTAGGCAAAGGGAGCCATACCGTTTCATACTGTCTCTTTTGTATTTCTTCACACAGCCCGTAGCTTGCCGCTTTAAAGTGAACATCGTCGTGGTCTCCAAGGAACTCGCTTTCCAACCATCTTTCGACAAATTTAAGGAATCGCTTTGCGACATTCTCGGGATGATGTGCGATGCCATGCAACATTTTGATAGATTAGAGACACAACTCTACCTTGACTGGGCAGGACCTCAAGAATTTCTCAAGGTTCCGCATCAAAAATAAAATATGAAGATCCAAGAAGAAGAACTGATTTCCTGTTCTGAAATCTTTGATCATAAAATAATAATCGAAATAAAATCATTTCTCCTGTCTCTATCTTTTAATTCATTATTATCTAGAGTATATATGTACTAATTTTCAATTTCAATAATTGTTTACACATACAAGGGACAGACAGAATAATATAAACACCTAACACTATTTTATTACTTGTTTTATTAATAAGAAATTGGATCATTTACTTTTAATACACATTTCATTCTCGTTGGAACAGTCACTCAATGCTTGAATAGTTACCAATGAAATGTTGTACTATTCTTTTAGTAAAATGTCTTTTAATTGTTTATATAGTGATACTGGAGAAGGAAATTTTTTTCTTACTTTATTTTCCAAAAATTTCTCTTTGTTCCCTAAAATGTCTATATTTCTCCTAACCAATGTAGTTTTCTGATTTAAATATCATTTATGGTTTTGGAGAGCAAAGTGAGAAACAAATTTCCTCCTCTAATATGTTTTAAATATTTAGAAGATGTTCTGTTAGAGAAAAATAGAATATATAAACATAAAGTAATAATAACGTAATATCAATGTTATAATTTCGCATTTACAACATGATTGTTACGTAAAATATGTATTATATTATATGTGTTCATACAGTTAAGTATGAAATTGTAACTTTGATGTTATGTTACTGCTAGTTTAGTTGCTGTTTACTGGGATTGCAGTTACTTTTCAAGCAAGTATGACATATACTGGTCCAACAAGGATAGAATCTGTACTTGAGACAAATTATAATAAGGTCAACTTCTTATTAATAAAATAAGTTGATGGCATATTTCGCATTATTCTATTCACATTATTTTGTCTATCTCGAATCCTGTATAGATGATAAAAAATTATTATTAATAATTTAAATTTATACTAAATAATAATTGTTATAAATATTATTTATATAAAATAATGTAATAATTTTGAAGAATCACAATGTTATAAATTCACGTTTTAACGTGTAACAATGAAATTATATACATTTATGTTTACATAAATCGTTTACATAACAAATCGTGAATTGTTAAAATACTTGTCTTTTAAATTATTATTACAAACAGTTCTCTGTGCGCTTTGCAGCCGAAGATATCGCAGATCATCGTGGAGCAGTTCAAGGGAGAGATAAAGCAGCTGATCGATCGTGAAAGAATAATCCCGGAGCAGAAGCTGGCAGAGTTGAGAAAGTACTTATCGATCCTATTGCCGCAGGTAGCGATAAACTGCTCGATAACGTTCATTTTTTTTGCAGATTCGCTCAGTTTTACAACGACGAGGAACTCGGCCGGACGAAGGCTTTCTTGCTAATCGATAAGATCAAGCTGGAGGAGTACGAGAAGAAAATTGAACTCTATCACGATCTCGTCGGAAGAATACCGATCGATATCGAGAGGACAGTTTTCGCGGGATTCTTCGAAGTTTCTCACGCGCCCTTCATTACGGCCGTGGTGGAGAACATTGGGCACTTCAAAGGGCTACTAATTCAGCGCCTTGTCGACCGATATCAGAATACGGCGAAGAAGTGAATATTAAATATATATAACGCATCTAAAATTAAGTATTAAAAATCTTTATTAATTTTTATCTTCAACTTTTCGCAATTTATTAGTTTTTAATTAATATTTTGGCAGATTTGTGCATAGCGTGGACTTCAAAATTATTTAAAGATTGATTTAAGAGACGGGGTCTATTTTTAAAATCTTACAGCTTTTTTTTTTAGTAAGATTTAGTAAGATTTATTATGAGTAAGGTTTAGCATGAGTTATTATTTTATTGCATTATTTCATTACGTTATTATAGTGGCTTTTTCTGTAAAGATAATCATTACTTTGAGAGGATCACATATTTTATTGAAGTATGTAGTAGAAAACATTCTGTATGATATATATGTATTAAAATTAGTCCATGTTAAAATTTTTGTGTTGAATTTTTAAGTACTAAAAATTTTTGTGTTGAATTTTTAATATATTTGCTTGTTAATTTAATATTGTGTGATTCTATTATTTAAATATTTTATGTTAAATTAATATTCAACACTTTCTGTGTTAAAATAATGCAATTTATAAGTAAGACGATAAATAATAAATAATAAAAAAATAATATATTTTAAAACGTCAATTTTAAGATAAAGAAATGAAGTGTATTAATTTATATAATTATAAATGTTAATTTTACTGAAAAAATATGATTCCACAATAGTGTGTCAACGTTATATTTTTTATGTTATAATTTCTTTTATAATTAATTTTTACTTTCTAACAAATTACTTTGTGTAATTAAAATTCGAGTGGATCTTTGGAAGACACAAAATGTGTTAAATTTAACATAAATTTTTCAACTATATAGATGATTATAATAATTATGCAAAACTTGAACTTTGTATTATTTTTTTATTTATGTGCAACTATTATTACATAATGAAACATGCATAGACTGTAATTTTTTTACATTTAGCACGTGAAATTAATTGCGGAGTAATTTTTAAGTCATCCTGTGTACAGTTAAATTGAGTTTCCCCTATGATTCTCTATCCCCGAACGTTATATAGCGTTCATTTCTCTCAAACTAATCTGTATCTAGTGCCATAGCGGAATATGAAGCTATATCCGAGCGAGTCCTCACTCCACCTCCCAATACCGCGGCTCTGATGGAACTCATCAAGTTCGTCCGAATTACCAGTGACGTCACTCTAAAGAACTTGGAGCTTAGACTGCTGGACGTGATCGAGCACATCACGTTCCTGTCGGATTACTGGCTGCTAACAGAGAGCGAGATAAGTAACAACAATGTGGCCTTCCAATGGTATCACAGAATGTCCCAGATCTTGGAAGACAACCGAGTGATCGTCGAGAATAAGACGCAGGAGTACCAAGATGCGCTGAAAGGTGATATCATTCTCTCGATGATACTCTGATCTCGACAATAATCTGGATTAATTTAATTATATTCAGCCATGTTCAAGTTTAGAAATCCTTATAAATTTCATAATTTTTAATACATAAATTCAAATAGGTACAACAAAGTTTGTTAATAGCTTTGTTTATTAATACATTGTTAACATTTGATATTTTATTATGTACTTATTTTTTGTTCTATAACTTCTGTAATTCTTTTCGATAAACTCTCTACTGGTTTTCTGTAAATGGATTATTCGTCTCAATTTTTCTATAATTTCAATTTATAAATCTTGTTTCAAAATGAATTTTCGATTACAAATTTTTTTTCTTTAAGTGACTCCCTAAATGTTTAATTGAATTGAAGTCAGAATTTTGTAGAGATCAATCTACGACATGATCTTATGTTTTTAAACTATAACTACTATTAACATGGCGCATTTAAACAATTAAGCAATAAATTCCAGAAAAATAGGCACGATCTTAACTAATTCCAAGAAATCGTTAAAAAAAACAGTAATTATTAAAAAAAAAACTAATTAGTAAGATACCTATATCAAGAAAAAATGTACTAAATTTTAATAAATATTTGTTTAGATAGTATTAACATTTATACTTACGGTAAATAAACCGTAAATATGGTAAATATCAAATAAAACGGTTTATATCAAATACAAAAATTATTGCTGAATCAAATTAATGTACCAAAAAAGTATGTTTACAAATGAGTAAATATTCAGCTAGTATCATTTAAACAAATATTATTAACATTTAGTACATTTTCTCTCAGTAATAATTTTGGACATGACTGTATTATTAATAATTTAAACTGAGACTTGTAGAATTTCGCGTTTCATAAAAATAAATTTCTTTCTTTCTAAAAGTATAAATCATGTATTTTTTTAAATTGAATATTTGATTTTTTAAAGTAACACTCATTAAATAATTGATCACAAACTCGTCGAAAATATTTCATATTTACATGCCTCGTTTATAAAATTAATTTATTTTGTGTTAGCCTTTTTAAAAAATATTTTATTTTTGACGTTAATATTACGTATAAATATTTTGGAAGACACAGTTTCGTTTTTTTTTTACAGTTAGATATCAGAAATTCGTTGAGGAACTGGACTCGTACGTGAAACAAGTGGAAGAGATGAAATACTGGGGCGACATCGAGGAAGTGGATCGGTATCATCGCAAGGCGCAAAGTTTGGAGAACCGGTTGATCGCGGCAATGGACAAGATCGACAAGTTCAACGAGGAGGAGGTTGCCTTCGGTTGGGAAATCACGCAATATCCGTTACGAAAACGGATTGCTGATCGTTTGCTACCGTTCAAGAAGCTCTTCGACAGCATCTGCGAGTATTTGGCCAAATATGACAAATGGATAAACAGCACAATCGGTTCTTACAACCCCGAAGATATTGACAATGACGTAGGAACATATTACAGGTTGATATTTGTCAAACAATGTTATATCGAAGTTATAACAAAACCAAGAACAAAAATTTTATAATAAAAAGAAGATAAGGATGAGAAAAATTACATTGCGTTACAAGGTTTTTGTTTTTCAACACCTGGATGGTAATTCTTATGTATTTATAGCTGCTGAAAAAAAATATAAAATTAAAAAATTCACAGATTAGAGAAATCAAGGATTTTATTATAAAAAGACTACAAATCTAAATTCTTTATAACTTCTTTTTTTTGTTTTATATAATAAAATATATAAAAATTCATCATTCAGATGTTGAGAAACAGAAATCTTGTAAATCAGTGTAATTTTTTAACGTTAAGTATTGTTAATAAATTTTATTATTTTAATATGTCACTAAAATCATATATAAACAAGAAAAAAAGCACCATACCATCACATTTATTTTTGTATTTTAAATTTATATACTGTAAAAAACATTTAATTTTGCGTTATTATCTATATAAGAAATTCAAAGCAGAATTTATAAAAATTAAAAATGATTTAATTTTTGAAAAGCATATCTTTTTTTAGTATAAAAAGCTTTATAAGATATGTGAATTTGTTACTTGTTGAGAAATAAAAAGTTGGTCAAAATTTATTACCTAATTAGAAAACTTTTCTCACTACTATGATAATATCTATCTTTTCTATAATTATTTGGCTATAATCATTAAATTGATTTAATTTAGGCATAAAAATTAAAAATTGTTTAACAACGATGTGATTTACATTATTATTACGCCGCATTTGTGATTTTGGTTTTTTGACGATAAAATCGAATGTAGGACAATCTACAAGTTGGAGAAGGCGTTCCAGGAGCCGGACGTGCGTGAATTAGCGGCCGCGGTTCGTGAGAGAATCGATGAGTTTAAGGAACGGATGCCAATGGTGATGACTCTGGGTAATCCGGGATTGAAAGCGCGGCACTGGGATCAGATTTCGGCGATTGCGGGCATTCCGATCAAGTTCGATGCCGATCTAACACTGGGCAAGGTCCTGCTTATGGGTCTGGACGCTTTCGTCCCGCAATTTGAGGGCATCTCCGAAGCTGCCACGAAAGAGGACACTCTGGAAAGAGGCATGGACAAGATGTATCGAGACTGGAGCGATCAGATCTTTACGGTGAATCCTTACAAGGACACCGGCACCTTCGTCATCGCCGGCGTCGACGAGATACACCTCTTACTGGATGATCACCTTACAAAGACAGTGATCATTAAAAATTCGCCTTACATCAAACCCTTTGAGGCTAGAATACTGTAAGAATTAATTGTACGAAGAATTTAACGCTGAAAATAACGAATTAATATTTCCAGAACTTCAATTTATTTTAATATATCTTTTATTAATTAAATTATTGTTTTTTTATTTGTTGTTATTTATTAACTTAGTATTATCTTCTTTATATCAAATGTAATAATCTGTATCAAACCTTATCTCTACAAATATTGTTACTTATAATTTTTATTATTGCGTTCTAATTTATTTGCAATTTTATTTATTTATTTGTTTCAGTATATATTATATTTTCAGTATTTATAAATATTAATTATTATTTTGATATTATAAATTACAAATTACATTTATAATTGATAAAATTATAAATTTCAAACTGATAAAATTAATGTTATTATTTAATTAATTAAATTTATTTTATTTGATAATTAATATATTTTATTTACGTAATCAATTTACTTTATTTAATTTTATTTCGTTAGCATTTTATTAGTTTTACATTTGAGATTTGTGTATAACTGACAATTATTTAATATTATTACGTGAAATTTTTTAATTTTAGCAAGTGGGAGAAGACATTGCACCTGCTGGAGAACATTCTGGAGCAATGGTTGAAGGTGCAGGGCACGTGGATGTACTTGGAGCCAATCTTCACCTCGCCGGATATCCAACAGCAGATGCCGGAAGAAGGAAGGAAGTTTGTGCAGGTCGACAAGATTTGGCGGGAGATCATGAAGACTGTTTACGGCGAGCCGCACGTTCTCGCTATCGTCGAGATCGAGAAGATGCTGGATCGTCTGAAAAAGAGCTTTGGGCTGTTAGAACTAATTCAAAAAGGTCTGAATGAATACTTGGAGAAGAAGAGACTCTTCTTCCCCAGGTTCTTCTTCCTTTCCAACGACGAGCTACTGGAGATTCTCTCCGAGACGAAAGATCCGACACGGTAAGTCATTTATAAAATCTCAAATTCAGAAATACTAAATAATAACAATAATGGTAATAATAACAATCTGCAGAAAGTAACTTTACCTTCTAATTTTACATATAAAATTAATAATGTATAATTTTAATTTCGCAAAAATTTGAACTTATACTTATTCATGTTTTTAAATTTTCACTTTAGATATATCTTAATGTGTATATTTGAATTTTTATTTTACTAATAATAAGAAAGATAAATAAATACTATTTTTTCACTTGATTGTTTTTCTGAGAAAAATCAAATACAATTTAAATAAATTGTTTATGTAATTAGGTATAATCTATTTAAATAGTAACATCATTTATTTGTGATCTTTTATTTCAAGGACTTGAGGGATAAGACTTTTTATTGAGTAAAATTGTTCTTCAGCGTGCAGCCGCACCTGAAGAAATGTTTCGAGGGCATAGCTCTACTGAAGTTCAACGAAGAGCTTGAAGTGCTGGCGATGCGATCCACGGAAGGCGAGGAGGTTATTATCTTAGAGATCATATCCACTTCCATCGCTAGAGGACAAGTCGAGAAGTGGCTGATCGAGCTCGAGACGGAAATGCGGAAAAGCGTGCATCACATGGTGCATCAAGCGATCCTGGCGTACCACATGAAGGCGAGAACGACTTGGGTCCTCGAATGGCCCGGTCAGACTGTTCTCTGTGTAGATCAGACGTATTGGACGCAACAAGTCGAGGAGGCCATGCTGAAGGGAGTGGCTGGTTTGAAGAGATACTTGGCGCAATGCCAGGAAGAGCTCAACGACATCATTTTGCTGATCAGGGGAATCCTCTCGAAGCAGAATCGCATCACGTTGGGTACCTAATTAAACTGGTGCTTCTAAAAGTTGAAGTATTTTTAATGATTTTATATATTGATGGGAAGTGTTTGTTCTTTTTTTTTTTTAGAGGCGCTGGTTACTTTGAATGTTCACAGCAAGGACGTCCTCGCGGATCTCTACAAGGAGAAAGTTGTAAAAAATACCGATTTCAGATGGTTGTGCCAACTTAGATACTACTGGCTGGTACGTCTGCTTAATTAATATTCAAATTATATTTATTGCGTTGCAAGACTTAATTTCAAATTACGTTACTTTAACTTATTTCTAAATAGCACAAAATATTCTATGAATAATTTTATAAAGTTCAAGTGTTCTCTATTACTACCGAATATTTGAATCGAATTCTATGCAAATACATAGAACATTCTATTCAGAAACTTATATTTATAATAAAACGGCCATTTACAAAATGTTCAGAATATTTACAAAGTTAATGAACTATATATACTATATTTATTTTATCATAAAACAAGATTAGGTCCACATATATAAAAACATACGTTCAATATTCCATTGAATATTGTATAAAATGTTTTATGTACAGTCAGTAAATATCTACATTCAATAGTAAGTTTTTCAACTGTATTGTAAAAATATGATTAATATTTGATAGTATTTCTATAGAATGTACAGATATTTAAATAAATATTTATAGAATGTTCATAGAATGTTTATGTGCTTTCTGGCATTGTTATAAAACAGAGAAAACTTTACTTTTTTTTTTCTATAAATTTGAAAAAGACATAGTAATATTTTTCCGCTTATAACTTTTACCTTTTAAATTTATAATTTAATAAATTAAATAAATTAATTGAATTTATTAAATCAAATACGTATAATCAAAATAGCGTTTATAATTACAATTGCATTAGTAATTTGCCAAATTAATTCGTTACCTCTATTGTATTTTCAACCGATATTTTACTGCCGATTCTACATTATTTACTGCAATTACATCTTGTCCGAGTAGAAGGACAACATGTGGGCGTATATGATCAATTCATACATACGCTACGGCTGCGAGTACCTCGGCAATACATCTCGCCTGGTAATCACTCCCCTGACGGATCGATGCTACCGCACCCTTTTCGGCGCCTTGAGCCTTCACCTGGGCGGCGCACCCGAAGGACCCGCCGGTACTGGCAAAACGGAGACCACGAAGGATTTGGCAAAGGCGGTCGCCAAGCAGTGCGTGGTCTTCAATTGCTCCGAGGGCCTCGACTATATCGCGTTGGGCAAATTTTTCAAGGGTCTCGCCTCGTGCGGCGCCTGGTCTTGCTTCGATGAATTCAACCGGATCGACCTGGAGGTCCTGTCGGTCGTCGCGCAGCAGATCCTGACGATTCAGTGCGCGATCAACGCCGGCGCCGAGAAGATAATCTTCGAGGGCACGGAGATCTATCTCGACCACACCTGCGCTGTATTCATTACTATGAATCCGGGTTACGCCGGCAGAACCGAACTGCCGGACAATCTCAAGGCCCTCTTCCGGCCAGTGGCAATGATGGTGCCTGATTATGCTCTTATTGCGGAGAATACCTTGTACTCTTACGGCTTCTACAATGGTAGACCGTTAGCCGTGAAGATCGTTACCGCTTACAAGCTCTGTTCGGAACAACTCAGCAGTCAGCATCATTATGATTACGGCATGAGGGCAGTTAAATCCGTGCTGATCGCCGCCGGCAATCTGAAGCTTCGCTATCCTGTTGAATCCGAGGATATCTTGATGCTGAGGAGTATCTTGGATGTTAATTTGCCGAAGTTTCTAGTCCACGATCTACCGCTCTTCGAAGGTAGACTTTCTCTTTGCGTCTTTTTTTTTTTTCTAATTTAAAGGTGAAACGATAATCCGTCCAATTTATTTTTTAACCTGTTTGACTCTGTTTGTTAAAAATATATGTAGGCAAAATGAATAATTTTTAACGTGTATTTTCTTTACACAAATGATTCAGCTCATTATTCATAAAAGTATTAATTAAATACGATTATAGAGAAATAAATATTAAATCGAGATTAAAGTTAATCTACGTTGGTAAAGAAGGATTTTGAGGGATTTTCTTTAACACCAGGAATAGCTTCGGACCTGTTTCCCGGTGTTGTGCTACCAACGCCGGATTATACGCACATCAACGCGTGCACGGAGGATGCGTGCGCCGCGGCAAATCTGCAGTGCACGGACCACTTCCTGCATAAGATCCAGCAGATCTACGAAATGATGATCGTCCGTCACGGCTTCATGATCGTCGGGCTGCCGTTCGGCGGTAAAACTTCAGCCTACCGAATGTTGGCGGAATGTCTCGGCCTCTTAGAGGACAGAAAGTTGATGGACGAGCATCGCGTAGAGATCACCGTCATCAATCCCAAGGCCATCACGATGGGCCAATTGTACGGCCAATTCGATCCCGCGTCGCACGAATGGAGCGACGGAGTTCTGGCGGTGTCCTACCGAGCCTTTGCCACTTCCGTTAACCTGAACAGGAAGTGGCTGGTCTTCGACGGCCCGGTAGATGCAATTTGGATCGAGAACATGAATACGGTATTGGATGACAATAAGAAACTCTGCCTTACATCCGGAGAGATCATCCAGCTCGCACCTACGACGAATCTGATTTTCGAGCCTATGGATTTGGACGTAATTCATCAATTCTTTTGATTCAGCATTCTATCAAAGTCCGTTTGTGGAAAATCATTATCTTATCATTGTGTATGGAGAAAAGTTGCTTAAAACAAAAAGCTAAATTTTTAATTTGCAATTACCGAAAAGTAACTTAAAAATGCATTATTATTTTAAATTCATGTAGGCTCATGTAATCTTGTCAAACGATTGACCCAAAATTGATTTCTCTATATGTCTTCTATAAAAAAATAAAATCATTTTTAACCCTTTTCTTCTAAGCATAAAATATTTGCTTCTAGAAAATAAGTAAAAAAAGTTAAATTTTACACTCGAAATTTAAAGTAAAAAATTATTGTTGTTGTTATTATTATTATTATTATTATTGTTGTTGTTGTTGTTATTATCACCAGGTTGCATCACCTGCCACGGTGTCACGGTGTGGTATGATCTACATGGAACCGGTGAGTCTGGGTTGGACGCCACTTTTGTTCTCGTGGATAAACACATTACCGCCCAGTTTCACCGAGGAAATTAAGAACTATTTGGAAGACATGTACATGCGCTTTTGTCCGCCTCTGTTGCATCTGATACGTCGTTGTGGCGCAAAGGTCTAAAAAACTGCTCTTCCTCACGAAATTTAAAGTCTCCAGATTCTTATTCCCAACGTACAATTCTGGATTCATGCTTGAGGAGTATCAATTGTTAGGAAAAGAATAAACAAATAAACTTTGTTTATTCTAAACTTTTTTTACGCGAAACTTTTCTCGTTTCCGTCGGAAATTACAAGTTCTCACGGTCTTCCCTCTGCCTGCAGGAAATGATAACGATGCCGGATGCTAATCTAACGCGCTCAGTTATGTACCTGTACGACTGCTTCCTGGATGATTTTCGCGACGAGAAGTACATGAGCATGATTTCCGAATTGGACATGATAGCGCAAGTGGAAGTGAGTCTAAATTATGCTATATAAATTGTGAAATCATCAGGTATCTTTTTTCAGATATACTGTTATTTTACTTTTAAATTGGCAGAAAAATTCCGATTCTCAAAGAAACGCAGTTTGCTACTTTTTATTCATCTTACCAATAATAATAATTAAACAGGAAAAATAACAGGTTACAGTTATTTCCATTTTATTTAATTTTATATTGGCAGAAAAAAAATTCTGATTATATATAAAAATGTATTTCTCGAAAAAAATGCAGTTTGCTATTTTTTATTTATTTTCTTAATAATAATGCTATAAACACGAAACGATTAAACGGATATAATTAATATTAATTTATTGATTATTAATCTTGCTTTGATACGGATTTATAAATAAGAGATATTTAGAAATTAATTAAATTATAATTAATTATATAATTATAATTTTACAATTATTATTACATTAAACTAATAACCAGCATTAATAATTTTATGCTTAAATATATATTAAATCGTACATTTCAATCATTTTATAAAGCATAAAATCATTTTAGTGAAGAAGTGTTTAGAAAAACATTTGCCGATATTTATAGTTGATTCTTATATTTAAGATTGTTTTAAGTACAGTTTTAAGATATTATCTTACTAATGCAACATTTAAAACATTAGTCTTACATTGGCGGATTCAGAAAGTCAAAGGGAGGTCACTGGTGTAAATAAAAGTCTTTTTATAAAATTAAATATAAAAGAATAGGACATTAAATTATTATTTAATTTATTATATTGAAAAGTATTATTTAAGTATACAATTTATAAAATGTTTTATTTAAAATTACATTAAGGCTAAAAAGAAGAAGAATATAATAGAATCTGTTTTCTATATTTAGACGAATTTCTTAAATTAAATAATATTTTTGCAACGTTCAAAATTGTAATTAATTCAGAAATATTATATAACACATTTCGCTATAAATATTGATGAAAAAGGAGAATTCCAAATTATCAATTCCCATTTTCAAAGGGAGAGCCGCTTTTTATAGTTCCTTTTTCGTCCATCAGTGCTTATTGTCTTAAAATAAAAACGATCTATGAACATTGGCCTTATGCTTTTCACAGGGCTGCTTCTTTTTCTCGTGCATCTGGGCGATGGGCGTCACACTAATGGCCAACTACCGTGAGTGGTTTAATATTCTCTTCAGGGCGTTGGCGGAACCCGAATTTCCGGAGGAAGTTCGCCAACGCTTTGGTATATCGGAAATCGACAATCCGAAGGAACCCTATGTAGTCTCTTTGCCGATCACCGGATCGGTCTTCGACTACAAGTACATCAAAGAGGGTAAGGGCAGGTGGCAACTCTGGCTGGAGGATCTGAAGGATGTTCCGCCGATCCCCAAAGACATGCCGGTGAACCAGATCATCGTCTCCACAGTGGAGACTGTCCGATATTTCCATCTCTTCTGGTACCTCGTTCGCCATCACAAGCCAGTCCTTTTGGTCGGACCGACGGGGACCGGAAAGTCTGTTTATATTATGGAGTTCCTGCTGAAGAAAAACAATCCCGAGATTTTCAAACCACTCTTTGTGATATTTTCGGCGCAGACCACCGCCAATCAGACACAGGATATCATTATGAGCAAATTGGATCGAAGAAAGAAAGGTTTGTCTCTCGATTTAAATATTTATTTTATTAAAATTACACAGAAAAACAGTTTTACTGAAATATTACTGAAAGTTTAACAAGATACAGATCTGAAAGTAATTTTGTTATTAATAGATTATCAAAATTATATAACGTTACTAAATTACTAGATTTTTTTATTGAACCCGGAACAGATTTCAACTTTTTTGCGAAATATTTTGGCACACATAAAAAGTTAATCTATATATAAAATTATTGTTATTTTATATATTGTTTTATATTGTTTAACAAATTGTATATAAGTAAACCGGAATTTAATATATTAATGTAATATAAAAATGTTTTCAATGTTTTTTCCATATTTTTTTAAATTATTATCAATAGCATATTATTATCCGTGCTAACACTGCAATACTTATTTTTCTATACATCGAAATGAGAAAGAACAAGAAGAAAGATGTAGTTGTTCGTCAATTGTTTATTTCAGCGATAATTAAACAATTAATACATTTGCAGCAACAAGGTTATTATCGATGGAATAGAATCGATAATTGCAGAATTATGAAACTGGACGTGCGCTAATATCATGTTGCATATATTGTAAATATATATAAAACATGTTATAATAACATCGTTCCTGTAGTGCCAATAATCCAAGAATGATAAATTCGAGGACATTCTGGAGACAAACTTTGTCCGAGGACACTAAGTTCAATTCGAGGACTGTCCTTGGAAAATAAGAACGCATAAGACGCTTAAGCTAATTGCTAGAATATTAAAACTTTTTGCAGCATTGCTTATTATGCTTTCCTACATAATTATTTTGTTTCCTACATCATTATTTTGATGGTCTACTAATACAATTATTTTCAGATCTATATCTACCTAAACTTTTTATATTTCAGCATTTTTTCATATTTGTTCTGTTCACGTATTATTGTATTGTATGATTATTGAAATTACTTTAAAAATTATGTGTGAGATAAAGAAGAAGTCAATATGTGAGCTAATTAGTTGAAATTTTATAGGTCTTACCAGTTTTGAAATTATTATTAACGGATGACAATATTTTATTTAAATATTCTATTTAATATATATGTATATATAAACAAGAGATAAAAATTATTAACGCTGGAAATTATTAAGATTGCTTCCTCTAATAAAATTAAAAGGATATTTCAAACCATAAAGTTCTATAACTGGAAGATAATTATAAAGCTTTTTCTACAAAACATTTCGAACTTATTTTAAAGTACGAGATCAAAATCTCGTTAAGTTTTTTTCTTGCAAAAAAAAGAGAGTTGTTTTTAACTTTGCTCAAGAGCATTTTAAAGAAGAGACTTTTTAAGCTTTTAGAACATCTCGGGCGAAGTTAAAAAAAAATAATTTGTTTTCAGCTTCAAGTTTGCATGCTCGACATAGAACTGCGGCCATTTAAAGTATCGCAAAAAATATAACGATAGGTTTTAGAAACGGAGGAGGCAAAATGCTATTTTGAAAATAGTTCTACAATTATTGCAAGGCTGATATTTACAGTCTGTTCTTATCTTAAGACCGACTTAAGTAATGTCTTAGGCTACGGTTTTGTGGCTGATATTTATTATCCGTCTTTACTTTAAGACTGTCTTAAGTAATGTCTTAAGATGCTAATACAGCTCCGAGACATTACTTAAGATAGTCTTAAGCTTATAACTTAAGTACAGACTATATTTAAGACGATCATATATACAGAACCAACTGTATATCGGTCTGTGATTAGCTTATGACATCTTAACGCTGTATTAATATAAAACTTAAATATAAGGATCTATCATAAATATCGGTTTAAGATACGTTTGTAATTTTGTCATTTTTGCCACAAAGAAACTTGACCAGTTACGAAGATAGAGCAGACTTTAAGCAAAAGTCTGTTTTGAAAAGTAGTTTTTGTACATATAATATTAATTGTTACATTTGTAATTTCATCATTTTTTATTCAAAGTGCTTTTATAAATTTGTCGAAAAGCTCATTTACTTATCTTTAATTATCATCATCATGATCATCACTATTGTTATTCAATAATTCTTTCTGATAAGGTCTGTATGGTGCGCCGCCCGGCCAGCACTGGGTGATCTTCGTAGACGACGTGTCGATGCCGCAGAAGGAACAGTTTGGCGCCCAGCCCCCCATCGAGCTTTTGCGTCAATGGCTCGACCACTGGACTTGGTACGATCGGAAGGACGTCGTACCGATCAAGCTCGTGGACGTCCAGCTGATATGCGCGATGGGTCCGCCCGTTAGCGGGCGTGACGTCACGCCACGGTTCAAGCGGCATTTCGTCACCCTGGGGATCTCGGAGTTCGACGATGATGTCCTGGTCACTATATTTAGCAGGATTACCGCCTGGCACTTTAATACCCGTGGTTTCCCAGATTTTTTTGAACCGTGCATTAATCAACTGGTCTACGCCACTCTGGACGTGTATAAGGAGACGAGAATAAATCTGCTGCCGACCCCCGCGAAGTCACATTATCTGTTCAATCTGCGGGATTTCTCGCGGGTCATTCAGGGCGTCCTGCTTTCTACTCCCGAAGCCATCGTCGATCTAGTATGATGTCAACTATTAAAATAGAAATCGTGCAAAGTTGTTTTTCTTAATTGGCTTTTTTATTTTAAGAAAAAAGCGAATAATTGTAAAATTAATGATATTTTTGCTGCTATATCTTCTTTTTTGAAGAATTAAAATCATTCTTTAAAAAAAATATATCAGACTTTATTACATTATCTTCACTTCGTGAATAATTTGATAGATAATAATAAATAACATTAGACTGATACGTTAATATACATCAACTAGGTAGAAAAATGCATTATTCGGTTTTTGCTGGATCTTACAAGGGAAGGTAATGTAAACAGACTTCGCCTAACTTTATGTTTTAGTACTCTTCATTAATTCATGAGTAAGTGGCACGATATAATATTCAAGTATTTATGACAAATTTGCATCAAAAGTTTCTTGTGCGCCTCTTTATGTAACTTTTTACAGAATGTAAATTTAAATGAATGATCAGGCAACGTATGTAAAAAACTTATTTTATAATCATAACGTTATTTTAACGTTTGCAATTATACGAATAATATTCGCAATTTAAATAAAAATTCTAAAATTTTCGTTGCAAATTTCTCGCAAATTTTTTAATATTACGTTTTGCCAATTGAATGAATTAATAGGAGATAAGTACTAAAACATATTTGAGTGAAATTCATGCATATTACTTGGTTCTCCTTAGTATTCATATGATGACTTTCCAATCATTTTTACTACACGATGAGTTGTTTACGTTTTGAGTTAATTTTTATGGCATTATTGTTACAAGTGTACAAAAATGATTAAGGGATTCTTATATATTAACATCTTTGGAAAATATTTGTACATTTATGTATTTAAAAAAATTATATATAAATGCTATAATTAATTACTTGGTAATTATATATATTAATTATATATAAATGCTACAATTAATTATTCTCAATGTTTTAAAGAAAGAAAATGCGCAGATAACTCAATCTTGTGTATTAAGGACTTTTCGGTGCAAAATTTATACATATCTTGTGAAAACTGCGTGCCTATTTAATTTTCGGTCTTGGAACGCAATCTTAAACTGAAATAGTAACATTCAAATTAAATTGACAAGTATTATTTAATGACATTAATTTAATGATATAATGCTAATAAGCATTTTAAAAAATTATAAAGAGTTTTTTGTGAAAAATATTAATATTTTAAAAATATTTATCGTATAGAATTAAATGATTTTTGTTTAAATTTTTAAGATAAGTATGAAGCGGCTGTGGGTCCACGAAGTGCTCCGAGTTTATGGGGACCGGTTAGTTGACGAAGCTGACAGTAGATGGTTGGTGGAACAGATTCGAAGGACTATAAAGGATCGCATGGGCGACAACATGGACCGACTTTTTTGGGATTTAAAGGACGAGCCTGCTGCAAAAATAACGGAGGTGCATTTGCGAAATCTCGTTTACTGCGATTTTCACGATCCAGTCGCCGAAAAGAAGATGTACATAGAGATCCAAGATTGGGACGGTCTCGCTGAAGCGGTAGAGGAATATCTCGAGGAGTACAATGAGCTCTCCAAGACGCCAATGGATCTGGTACTTTTCAGGTATGTTTTCAATTAATTTTGAAAAAATCGCTTTAATTGCATTATAAAAGTTATATAAAGCAAAAAGAGAGATCTATTTTACTAAACTGAAACAAAAATTTATCAAATTTTAATACATACTTTTTTGAATGGTACCAAGTAAACATAAAGTACACAGTAAATAAATATTTATTTAATAAGAAAATGATATATTTAAATCAAATCAATGGTTTTCGATTCAAATAAATCTATGTTTACATTTGGTGAATATTTATTTAGAAATATTCAAACAAATATTTATTAAAATTTATTTTTTTCAATGTACAATACTAACAAAAATTATCCATGTGAAGATTATTTCAAACACTATCGAGAAAATTTAAGAAGTAAAATAGTAATTATACTTAGTGGCGCAGAGAATTTTCCCCAAGTCTACATTTTTTATTTAAAATCTTCAATAATTGACAAAGTAGCTTAGATACTGTATAATATTTCTAATATATTCTTATAAAATAGAAATTAATTCTACGCAATACTTGATTTAAAAAAGATCTTGAATTTATATTTATTTTGAACGTTAAAATAACTCTTTCCTTTAAAGAAATTTAATAAGTACTAAATTGTTTAATTACTGATTTTTTTTTCTTTTTTGAATATTAAAAGCATCGTCGTTAAGACTTTGGTTGCTGAAGATCTCGAGGTAAATTTTATTATAGCGAATGGTTAGACACAATGGTTAATTAGGCAAATTAATTTGCCATCAGATTCGCGATAGAGCATCTCTCGAAGATTTGCCGGGTGATGATGCAGTCGCGCAACCACGCTCTTCTGGTCGGCATGGGCGGTTCCGGACGGCAATCCCTGACGAAGTTGGCGTCTCATATATTCGATTATGAGCTTTTCCAGGTACAGATATCTCAACAGTACGGCATGTACGAGTGGCACGAGGACTTGAAGAATATCCTGCGGAAGAGCGCAGCGAGCGACCTGCATACAGTCTTTCTCTTCATGGACACGCAGATCAAGGAGGAGGCCTTCCTCGAGGACATCAGCAACTTGCTCAACTCCGGCGAGGTGCCCAATCTCTTTGCAGCGGACGAGAAGTCCGAGATCTGCGAGAAAATGCGAATCATCGATCGGCAGAGGGACAGGTTTGTCTTTCACGAATAGAATTAATATTCCACTGAAATCAGATAATTACATTTTTGATTAATCAGCGATAATATTATTACATCTTTCGTGACGTAAACCGTATTTATTAAATCTATATAATAAGAGTGAAATTGTTTCAGTAATTAATAATTACGCTACCATTCTTCGCAACGTAATAAAGTATAGAAAATTTTGAATAATATTAAATATAGAGAATATTATCTTTTAATTTTGGCTTTCGTAATTATCTTTCATGTTGATTTTGCCACGATTTTTTAAAGATTTTTTTGAAATAATATTTATTTAACGGATTTCACTTATCAATAATTGTTAACATTAATTGAAAGATTATAGTTAGAGAGAGATTCCTTCATCAAGCAAATACAAATTTACATTTTAAAACAGATATTTACGTTTTAAAATTTTCCTATTAATTAAGGGCGTGTTTAATGAAATTGATTAATAAACTTGAAAAATCCAGATTAAAGCTTAAAACAGAAATTAATCATTTTATACATTAAGCTTTAAAATCATTTGAGATTAAACATCAAAGAATTACAAAAAATAAAGAAAATACAGATATATATGAGAAATATAGTTGATTGAAATTTAGAACATTCCCAGAGCAATTTTTTTGAAAACAATTTGTTTTAGTTTGTTTTACGAAGTAATTCTAAATGTCACAAACAGAAATACAAAATATTCTGATCGAATTAGAAAATTTGAAATATATCGAAACATTTTCTGTTCTCTTTGGCATTTAAAAGTTGCAAAAATAGAAATAGAAAAAAATCAACGCTTAATTCATATAGGAAGAACTTTTTATGATTTGAAAGATGATTTATCGAGCATAAGGATGTCTTTTGAATTCAATCAGAATAGTTTTTGTTTTTATCTAACACTTAGAAATTATTCTGTGCATAACGAAAAATGGAACAAATCATTTTTGATGCAGCCGAAAGTAACCTAAAGGATGATTTATCAAACATAAGAGAATTCTGACATACGTATTCAGAGTATTTTTTTCTGCAAACATAGAAGTTACTCTGTACAAAAATAGGAATGGAACAAACTGTTTTTAAAAAATCACTCCACAGAACGTTCAAACTTCAGTCAGCCGAAAAAAATATTCAAAATTATACTCTGCAGAAAGGTTGAAGCGATACCTTTCACATTTTAATTAAAATACTTAAAATAATAATGAAAAATCAAAATGAGATTAATATTTGACTTTCCTGACGCGTGTTTAGATCCGTGCAGACGGACGGCAGTCCGGTGGCTCTCTTCAACTTCTTCGTGCAGACGGTGCGTGAACACCTGCACATAGTGGTGACGATGTCGCCGATCGGCGACAACTTCCGCATCCGAGTCCGCAAGTTTCCCGCACTGGTGAACTGCTGCACCATCGACTGGCTGCAACCCTGGCCCGAGGATGCCCTGCTCGCGGTCGCCACGAAGTTCCTCGGCGAGATTGAAATGCCAGAAGACGAACGTAACGCCTGCATCGCGATGTGTCAGTACTTCCATACGTCCACGCAGAAGCTGACAAGGGATTTCCTGATGCGTTTGGTTCGTTATAACTACGTCACACCGACATCCTACCTGGAGCTCATCAACACGTTCAAAGATCTCCTGGATCGAAAACGGAAAGAGGTACTGCAGGGTAAGAGCAGGTACGAAGCTGGCCTCGACAGGCTGGACAGCACGCGCAAAGAGGTCACCAGGATGCAGGAAGTCTTGGTAGCTCTTCAGCCGAAGCTGCTGGTGGCTGCGAAGGACGTGGAGCGCATGTTTCTGGATGTGCAGCGACAGAACGAGGAAGCCAGCGAGATCGAGCAGATCGTTAAGAAGGACGAGCAGGCCGCTATGGTGAGAATAGAATTCACAACTGCAATATCTTATTATCTTTATTGTCTCTTTTTTGTTGATTTATTATATTTATTTCATTTGAATTATTTAATAATTAATTTCCCACATGGATTTTATTGTATGAAAAATTGTTCAATTTCTACAGTCTTAGGTAAAAATATTAGACATTAGTATTTTTTTTATTCATCCAGAATTCTTTTATCTGCTTTGTTATTTATTGGCTACCGATATTATATATATAAGTTTAAAGGATTCTTGAAACAAAAGATAATTTACAGCAAATGCCGCAAGTCTTTCAGCTAAAATTATAAATAATAATTAATAAGATGCATAACATTTTTGGCCAAGGCCGTATGTCTTAAATTTAGTTTTAATGTTTTGTGTTAAAATTTTTTCAATACATTACTTATTCATTTTCTTCAAAATACCATAATATACCCCCGAAGGTTTTCTTGCAATGAACACGATGCCGTTGCCAGAGTTTGCGTAGCACACGAGAATTTTGGGTAAACTGCGGTATAGAGTAAATTGGGGTGGTTTCAGCTCATTTCATCTCAATTTACTAAAATGCGTTACGCAAATTCTGCATCGTGTTCAGTGCAAGAAAATTCTTTGGAATATGTACTACATACTTTGAAGAGAAAAGAGTGATTTCTTTTATTGAATTGTGTAATTATAGAAAGTTTAAAATTCAAGTAGCCATAAATTGATAAAAATAAGCGAATGATGAACTAAAATTCTTTTGATAACTCTTGAATTCTAAATTTTTGTTTTACCATGAAAAATGTCAAAAATGATTAAAAAGCAGCTTCTCCATTCAGTTTCAAAATTCTGATATACGTTGCGCAAATTTTGTCAAACGGCATTATGTTCAGTGTGAAAAAAATCTTACTGAAATATGTACTATGACACTTCGGAAAGAAATTGAGTGTTGAACAGTGTTATTGAATAATTGAATTTTTAATATTGCACAGTTATGAGACTCTAATGCTTGTTAGAAATTGATCAATTTCTGAAATTTTCAATCTTAAGGTATTCATAATCGATTCTTATACTTAAGACTGTCTTAAGACATGTCATGAATCAAAGAGCTGTATTAGCATCTTAAGATATTATTAAGGTACTTCTTAAAATAAGAACCGACTATTAATACCGATCTTAATCTTCCAAGTTTGTTTCCAATCGAGTTACTTTAATTTCTTTGGATATATTAAAATATTTGTATAATTAATTAATTTTGTGATAAATAATTTTAAATAAATGTGAGGGGGATTTAACGACCAACAATTATAATTTGCGCTTACTAGATTGTCGCTGCGGAAGCCAACGAAATTCGCGCTGAATGCGACGCGAATCTTAAGGAAGTGATGCCAATACTGGACGCGGCGAATGCCGCTTTGAACACCCTGACTCCTCAGGACATCTTCATTGTCAAGTCCATGAAACGTCCGCCGGCCGGCGTGCGATTGGTCATGGAAGCGATTTGCATACTAAAGGTATATTAAATAATCGTGGAATAAATACGATACACAAATAAATAAGTGTACTCTGCTTATTGACAGAAACAGAAAATGAATCGAGTTAAATTATATTTAGTTTCCAACTTGCATGAGGAATAACACATAAATATTAATATGTGTACAAAATACATATTTATATAGCATCTAATTGATGATATTATTAATGTGTCATAAAATACAGGCAAATAGATATTACAATAAAATATAACATGTAAATTTATTATATATAAATACATATTATGATATATTATTGTATAATATGCAAGGTTGAATAATAATGCATATACATATATTGTACATAAGTTTATATCAAAGTTTGCTTCAAATCTGATTTTTCTTCGCTTATCCCTTCGGAGCTCTGACGTCACAATTTACAACTACTGACTGCTAGATCTGTGAGATTTATAATTTAATTTATGTTAACTAAAACGCACAATTAAGAAATTCAAATGTATGTTTGATCCAAAATTTGTCAAAAAGAGGAGCCATAGACTTGCCGCAAACAAAATTCTTTTTTAAGGTCAAATATGAAAAAATAAAATATTAAATTTAAATTATTATTTAAATTATCATATTGAAAAAATATTATTTAAAAATATTAAAAAAAAAAACATTTTCGGAACATAAGGACTGAGATTTAGAAATACTAAAAATATGTATAACATTTTACTGAATGTTTTTAAAGATGAAACTTTAAGGGAAGATCATGCCTCCCCTCCCCTCCCCCCACCACCACGAATCTGCCAAAATGATATAGCTTTCGTATAAGAAAGAACAAACGTTAAGTATATTTTGATAAGAACAATCCAAATTTGTAGATGGAACATATTGAAAATTGAATTGTTTATGTTTTGGTAAAAGGATTTATAACTGAGTAGATCTAGTGATTCCAATTCCAAAGGAATATAATTGAGCGGATCTAATAAAGCCATCATCAGCATCGAAAGATTAAAAATCCGTTTGAAAATTATACAGGACGTGAAGTCGGAGAGGGTGTCGACCCCGGAGGGTGTAATAGACGACTACTGGAAGCCGTCGCTTCGCATTCTGGGCGACATTAAGTTTCTAGAATCGCTGCTGAACTACGACAAGGACAACATCCCGGAGCGAATCATGCACAAGATCCGCACGACGATTCTAACGAATCCGAACTTCGATCCGGAACGTATCAGGCATGTGTCGACCGCCTGCGAAGGTCTCTGCCGCTGGGTGTTCGCCCTATCGGAATACGACAAGGTCGCTAAGGTAGTGGCGCCGAAGAGGCAAGCTCTGGCGAAGGCCGACGCTGTTTACGCTGCAGCGATGGAACAGCTGACACTGAAGAGGCGCCAGCTGCAGGAAGTGCGAGAGAAACTGGCCCGATTGGAAACTCTGCTGGCGCAACGAAGAGCGGAATACAAAGCGATGACCGAAGAGGTGAAGGACTGCGAGGAGAAACTGAGAAGGGCCGAAGAACTTATCGGAGGCCTCGGTGGCGAGTACACCAGATGGTCCGAGACCGCTAAGTAATAATAATATGAAGTACAACTTTTTGTACGTCGGATACATGCACGTGTCTCATTATCAAATTTTGTTTAATTAGTTTATTTGTGTAGATATCATTTGAACCCAACACACATTTAAGGCCTCCAAGCTAGAGAGATTGAAATTACAAAATTAACGTTAACATATTTTTTTCACAGTTAGGGAGTAGACCTTACAGACAAAACTATTTGCTACTTTCAAACTGAAATGTAGCTTTTATGAAAATACAAACATTAATGATTAGTGGCAATGTTATATCTTAGCAGACCGCTAAGTAATTTTGCCGGTTGTCCCCAGAATACAGCGCAAATTATACAAGGCATTGTGATTCTATTTCACAATTCTCACCTGTTCCATAATCGTCTCCTTTTCTCTGTATTACATATATTAAGAATTTGAGTTTCGAAACATTAAAAATTATGAAATTTTTATGAAAGTATTTTAAAAATGATTAGAACATATTTTTTTGTTTTTTTTTAGTTAAAAGTCCTCCAAGAAATATTTATTACTTATTAAAAAACAAAATGTTGATCAAAATTTATTGTTTAGTGATATTCTGTCTAAAAATTATTTTTTGAAGATTTTGAATTTCAAAAAGCTATAATTAATATCACATAGATTTACCGTTACTTTGCCTTTAATCTTAATTTTCAGTTTTAATTTTTATATCTGCATTATCAGTTTAGTTTGCAATCTAAATTAATATCCAAATTGTAAAAATAAAAATATCAATTAAATCTACACTAAGTGTGTAAATTCAAATTCTTTATTGAATGTAAGACGGTTCAGCTATAATATTGTTTAATTATTATTGAAAGTGATCCAAGAGCCGTCGAGTCGAAACTTCTTATATTTAATATTCAATAAAGAATTTGAATTTACGTAAGAACATTCAGTATTGGCTCTGATTGGCATTTTTACTTCTACGATTTCTAGACGATCTTTAGAAATTTTATCCAAAATAATTTGAAACTTTGTGATTACTGATAGATCGCTCGGAGAAATCTATCACAAATTAACAGGCGATATCCTGATCGGTTCCGGTGTGGTGGCCTACCTCGGCGTCTTCACGATGCAATATCGACAGAGGCAGGTGGAGAACTGGGTGGAGTTCTGCACTAATCTGAAAGTCGTATGTACTCAGGACTTCCAACTCACGCAAACATTGGGTGATCCAGTACTCATCCGCGCCTGGAACATATTCGGCCTGCCGAGCGACCTATTCTCCATCGACAACGCCATAATCATCACAAACTCGCGCCGCTGGCCGCTCATGATCGACCCGCAGAGTCAGGCAAACAAGTGGGTGAAGAATATGGAGAAGACGTCGAATCTGCACGTCGTCAGATTGACGCAGCCGGATTACATGAGGATTCTGGAGAATGCCGTGCAGTTCGGACAGCCGGTGCTGCTGGAGAACATCGACGAGGAGCTGGACCCGGCTCTGGAGTCGTTGCTAATGAAGCAGACCTTCAAATCCGGCGGCGCGTTATGTATTAAGATCGGCGACAGCATTATTGAGTATTCCGATAAATTTCGGTAAGTTTGTCAACGTGCTTGAATTTTTTATTTCGTTTTTGACATGCTGAGTACAAGCGTAATTTATAAATTATATCATAATTATGTGAAATAGGAATAAATTTAATATAAACTTATAATATTTTTAATAATTTGTAGTTTAATAATGATAAAAATTAATATTTGATGTAAATTATTTTTATTAATTTATTATTTGTCATTAATTTTATATAAATGAGATTCGTTTATATGCTTGGAGGATAAACATTTCTGTATAGTAAAAAAACATTTTATACTTATGTTAAAACTGACACTTATTAAAATGCTTGTTGAATTTTTGAACCGAGTATTGATTTAACATAATATGATTATATTATATTATTATCGCATATTTATGTTAAATTGATATTTAATGTTTTTCAGTATAAAAATAACGCAAGTTTTAAATAAGTAACATAAAAATAACATTTAAAAAATTGTAATTTAAAAATGTAAATTCTAAGATAAATGAATAAAAAAAATGAAAATTAATGTGTTAATTTAACATATTTTAACTATGATTAGTTTCCCTGAAAAAATATGCTTCTAAAATTTGTTTCTAAATTATATCAAAATGTTCAATTTTTCGTAAATTTTTTCACATAACGTTTTACGTTTTAATATATTCACCTTATATTAAATTATAAAAACACAACAATTTGGGTGAATCATTTGAGACACGTGAAATGTGTTAAATTTAGCACAAATTTTGAACTGTGTATGTGTATGATTTCCGTAGATTTTACATCACTACGAAATTACGAAATCCACATTATTTGCCAGAAGTAGTAGTAAAAGTGACTCTATTGAACTTCATGATCACACCGGCTGGTCTGGACGATCAACTTCTAGGAATAGTCGTTGCAAAGGAGAGACCCGAGCTCGAGGCCGAAAAAAATCAGCTGATAGTTCAAGGAGCGGCTAATAAAAAGTATATATAAAACACCTTTTTATTTTACATATTTTAATTGATTTTCGTATTATCTTTAAAACAGTTCAATAACAATTAAATCATTGTAATGTGATTGAACGATTATTTAAATTTTCTGCATTTAAAAATTATTGCGTGTTAAAAATATATATTTGTATCGCTGAAACAAACAGAATTTATCATCAATAATTTTCATAGCCATTTCATTCTTAATTGATAAAATTAAGTGTCGATAATTCCGTATTGACAAAGTGAATATATGTTGATGTTAATATTAATGAAATAAATTTTGTATGTAAATAAATATTAAATTCTAAAGAGCTTTGCCAATTCGCAATTCAGGATTATCGTTGCTCCGACAAGCAATATTTTGCAACGTTTTTCCGCAGGATGTTAAAGGAGATAGAGAATAAGATCTTGGAGGTGCTGTCCGCGTCCAAAAAGAATATCCTCGAGGACGAAACCGCCATTAGTGTGTTGAGTTCATCGAAAAATCTAGCTAACGTGATTCAAACTAAACAGACTGCCGCTGAAATTACTGAGAGGTCGATCGACGCGGCGAGATTGCAGTATACGCCAATTGCAGTCTACAGTACCGTTCTTTTCTTCACGATTGGTGAGCAAGAATGCAAAAGTAATATTTATTTAATTTGAGAAAAAATTAGAAAAAATTTAGAAAAACATCGCTTAATTTAAACCAATTGTCTTTAAATTAAATTTGAAAATATATAAGAATTATCTAATATAAAAATAATATAAAAAAATACGAGTATAATATAGAAATAATATTTGTGAAAACCTTAATTTGATGAATGTGGAAACCTACTTTTTCAATTCATACATTCTTTGAATT